TTGTTGTGGGCTTTTTTTTCTCGTTTACGTGCCGTTCTTCATCACTTACCTCATAAATTTTTTGCGCGCTTACTCATCATGGAAATTATCTCTCGAGTTATTGCTGTCCAGCACACAACCGCGAGATGTTATAAACACGAATCTTTAATTTATAAGTGACAGCGACTATTGTGGTATCAAAATTTCCGATAAAAAGTCGGATTTCATTTTTGGACTATTTATTAAAACTTCGAAAGGCTTTGAGAGCTTAGTACGGCCTTCGACCAAATTAGAATCTTTAGCTTTGAATTTTAACAAACGTACAGATTTAATACAAATATTTTTAATTTTTTCCAAATGAGAGATCTGATTTTTGCTTTCAAATAAAACTTGAAAGAAAAAAAATGTTTTCTCTAAGTGTTACAACACCACGAAATATATGAGAAATACATTTCCACCGCAGTAGGTACATGTTTAGCCTAGAATGATAATTGAGCGTTGCTTGAGAGCGATTAATTTAATTTTTTTTTTTTTATTGCACGAAATGAGTTGTAGAGTTTTTTTTTTTAACTGACACATTCTGACAATCCAAAAGTGACAGTTATTCTTTACGTGTCATTTTTATATGAGCAATTAAAAAAAAATGGTATTTAAAATTAACTAGAACTTTTACGGGAAATCTTTGCCTAACCAAAGCCAATTATTGCAATGTTGAAAATAGTGACGGACGGTTGGTAAAAAAATTACAGTTGTTGGAAAGACACCAAACATACATAATTATGCTTCCAAAAAATAACTTGACGACAAAAACGCGTTTATTACTTTACGGGAAAACCTTCAATTGTTTTTTTCTAATACTCTCCTCGCAATTTTATTTAAAATCACATTAAATGATTAAGAACAGAATTGTCTCTAGTAATGATTAATCACCAGAATAAAATAAACTTACGTAAAACGGCTCGACTGTGGGTAGTTCGATTTCGGGAATACCATCCCTCAAATACGGCCGGAGGTGGTGAAGCGAGCCGATCAGGCAAGATTTCAGCTTCGGATCGCTTCTCGAGCATTGTTTCACGTACTCGGCTAAAAAAAAAGAAAAAATACCGATATCAATGTTTCGTTTTTCCAATTATTTCGGTAATTAAAAAAAAAAAAAAAAAAAAAAACAGTAGTTATAATATTGATCACGTACACATGCCTACTCATTTACAAATAAACCGCAACAGAAGATTGTTGATAATACAAAAGAAAGCTCTATCGCCCGATAAACTTGAATGAAACTTAGTTCAGCGCGATAATCAAAATACACACCGTGTATCCACATGTGATTGTATTGTCGTCCAACATCGGCGTAAGTCAATGGGCGATTAGACTCGACGCAGATTTTATCTTTTGGCACCACCTGTAGTCATGTATTTTTTTTTTTTTTTTTTTTCCTCGCCTATACACATGAGTCCGCGATGGGTATACACCCACATCCATCGTTTTTACAACCCCCTGGTTCGTTCAAAGGCGCGAAGACACCGAGCCAACTTTCATACGTGCAATTTTATACGTGCTCTTTGGCATTAATTATGCAACGAACGAGGAATCCCATTGTTGCACTGCCGCGGGAGGTGCTGCCCTTGTCGTCGCCGGCGGGCGTTTACGCGGTGCCGGCAAAGCGAGAATAAATCAGAGATATATTACACTCGCCCGATGCGCGCCAATGGGAAATGGGGCTTGTAAAAGCCCAGCTAGTGCGTGTGTCACAAGGTGCGCTCGCATACATTATACCGATTCCTCGATAATCCTATACTTACGAGAGGGGGGACTTGCTTTTTTATATGATGTATGTACGATGCACAGGAGAGCTACCTTTCCTCCCCCCCCCACCCCCACGGGTAGTAATGAGCATTTTTTTTATCGAGCACAGCGCGCACATTGTTTCTTTCGATCCCGTGTCGATCGACCGTCACACCGTACGTATATATATATGGTATTATCATTGTTAGGTGTGCGAAGAAAAGGGCAACAGGTTGGCCGTGATGTCATCGGGACGATCGATCTGTATATTCACGCGTGTGGCACGTATACCTATAAATTACAAAGTTCTCGTTATACGCGCACCTTTTTTTTTCGCATAACAATGATAACGGATGCTGTATATATATACATATACATATCTTTGTGTAGAGGGAGAGAACGGCTGACACTTTTTTTTTCTTCTCCCTCTCTCGTTGCATCTTGTCGACTAATTTATTTCATCGGGTTGGGTGGTAATAAAAAAAAAAAAAAACAATCACAACAGCTGACATTGAAATAAGGTTGCGTATGTGGGTATGTACAATCTTATGTAGAGGAAAAGGAGCTGGTCGATCGGTACAATATGGGTGTTCGTGCGCGTGAAACGAGAATGAGGCCTTTTCTTAATATATTGCTGTTTTAATTGACACGGTTATTGAGGTGTTGTCAAATGATGATTGTAAATTGAGGCTTTCGGGTTACCTCGCGATAAATAGTACAGAATGTTGATTAAAATCTTGGATGGATCCTCGTGATTCTAGAAATTTTCAAAGTCCAATGATCACGTAGAAGTTGTCATATTTTCGTTGTTTTTGAAAACATCTTGCCGCGACTCGAAACCAGAGGAAGAAAAAAAAAAAGGTGTATTTGTCAAAAAGCACCTTGAAAAAGAGATCACACCTCGCGGTGACCCAGCGCATGTATATATATGGTTTTTTTTTTACTATGCCACATATAACACTTAGAATTTGTGATTGCAAAAAAAAAACAAAAAAAAACAAAAAAAAAACAGCAGCTTGCGTGTACGTCGTAAGTTTATGTAAAAGCTGAGCTAAAAGAAGATTGAGGCTGTTTGCTGGAAAACAGGTTTTTTACGAATACGTTTCATCCGCTCGGGTAACCATTGGCTATACATATATACATGTGTATACTGACAGATCGCAAAATCGAGAGCCAAGTAGACAAACGGCCACTTTAGGAGTAGAATTGCGATATCGCGAGGGCATCGATAGCCGAGCAACGAAAAAATACGAATCGTCAAGGTCGAGAGATCGGTAATATTTGTCTTTTATCCCCGCCCATCTAACCCGCTGTTCCTCTTCCGTCATTGCAAAGTCCCACGCCCAATTACACCCATATACATGCACTAAAAAAACAGAGCCCATTTATGCACGTGCGTATAGATATATCGGTAAGAGCGACGCAGGCAAGTACGCGTGTAAGTATTAGCAAATGGAAAAAAAAAAAAAAAAGAAGACAGCAAACAGCTACAACAGCGGCAGGTGAGGTGACTCTCGCGCCGCGCTCTGCCTGCGCTGACACACTTTTCCACAACGCGCTAAGGACGACGAGTCTCTCTCTCTCTCTTTCATTCTTTGCACGAATTTCTCTGCTCGGCATTTTTTTCACCTATACCCTCGGCTTCTGCGGCAAGGCATCGCTCCTTTTGTCCGCACTTGCAACGAGAGAAAGAGAAAAAGGAGGCGTTCGGCGGAGTATACCTACGCGTGACCTGTAAGGACGAGCCCTTTATTGAGATGCTCCCTCGCGCGCGATCATTCCATGACTAATAAGATAATCAGATATTATATGTTCTTTTTTTGCCGATACTTGTGTCTCTTTCAACTATACGCGACTGCACGGACGCTAATGTTCAACGTGCAGTGATAATCCGTACCTGTACTATATATAAAGGATCCCTCACGTGCACACCGTGTGTGACTTGATTTTTTTGTTTTTTTTTTTTTTTTTTTT